ATCGCTCCGTCTGCAGTCTTTGGGGCGGTGTTCAAAACGTATCCTAGTTGCTGTCGTACAGGCGTATCATAGTCGTTGTGGGCTTCGTCCGGCCGCGACGCCTTGGTCCAATTTGCCATGAGCATAGCGACTCCCAGGGAGGCTGGATCTCCGACTGAGCCGTCTTCGAATAGTGTTACGGAACCCACTGGGCGAATCGCGATGGCGCTGCGTTTTAGTTGGGGGAAACGATGAGACGCAAGGTTGAGGAAACTTAAGGAGAAAACTGACTAGTTTGCCAATTCCAAGACTGTAGAAATGTTATTCGGATTGTCCGTGCCACCAACGTTTCGAGCTGGAGGTACGCCAACAGCACCGAATACACTCATTTGCGGCCAGTCTATGAGGGGGAACAGAATGAAGTCAGCTCAAGGCTCTGGTCTCCGAGACGATGCCGCAAAACGAAGAGACGAGCAACCAGTGGGTAAGGTGAGCTACCCATTGATAACATAGAGACCCATTGAGGGAGGATGCTGCGGAGGGGACAGAGAGAACACGTTGTGTCCGATCTCGTATGCGGCGCCGTTGTGCAGCTGGCACAGTTCGCGTCTAAACATGCGAGTGCCGCTGTACACTATGCTTGTCTGATCAAGCTCCAAGCGATGTGCATGTTGTATGAACCTGGTGGGTCCGGCGGAATTCCAATCCCGACTAGGAAACCGAGTAGTTTACACTCACCGATTTCAAGGTATGCCTCGGCGAGGGTGCCCAACTCCCATGACTTGAGAGATACATCCCTCGCCCGTGTGCGGATAAGCTGGAGCAGTGGCTCGTCGATCGGTATGAACGAGGAGAGCGTGGGCACATCCACGTCGCGGGATCGGAGGTTGCTGGGTGGCAGTCGCTCCAAGGGAAGAGCGAGACTCCCAGCGAGCGATCCAAGGACGAGCAGAACGGCCGTCGTCAGCGAGGCGTACATCACTGGAGAGTGAACGGATGCCTGGAAGGGTGCTCGAGGGTGAGAGGCGAGACGAAGGTGTTTGAGGAAGCGACCAGAATTTTGTTTCCCGAGTGATGGCGAGGATTAGGCGACAGAACGAAGATTCGTCGCTGACCCGGATGAACTCGAAGGAACGCTTCTTTGAACGACGTGAGCTACCACCCAGTCTGCGGTGTAGGCTTGGATGCGAAGGTGAGGGCTAGGATGGGTGCGGGTGTAAAGATCTGCATTACGCCTCGATGGAGCGTTGTTGATGAAGGGGTCGGGGTGGTTGTTCCTCGGTCCACAATGACGCTCTCGGCGAATTGAGATTCACACGCCCAGGCCCTATGAACAACGTCAAAAGTCTCCGCCTTCGACTTGGACCTCCACCCAAGACTCTTGGACCCCTCCAAGCCACGAGCAACAAGTCCATCATTGAGTTTATGACGTAAACATTTACATCGCTGACCCACGCCTGGAATAGCCGAGACTGCCACAGAACTACGTTATATCGTGTAAACCCGGCGGAGCGAACGTCGCTGCAAAACTGATAGAGACGTGGAAATCTCCTAGTCGTGTCTCGCCCGCGACCACCCTCTAGAATTCATGTTCTTCGGGCTCTGAAAGCTCCACCGGTAAGCATTTCAGCCCACAACAGCCGCCGGCCTCAGCAAGAGTGAAGCGAGTGCGAAAGGGGGGCGGACGCTTCCGACTTTCGGAGCTCTCTCGGACTCGCGTAGACGGAAATGGCCTGAGTAGCTGACTATGAAGATGAGGGTTGATCCCTGATTTTTGCCTGGAGACAGCCGCTCTTAACTCCGATAACTCCGAAAAGGGAGTGTATCCTCTCGCCGCCGCCCAGTCCAGCATCTCCAAATGTCGCTCGTAGATCAAACTTAGAGCATACTCCTTCCGCAAACGCATGTCTAACCACGTGGCAAGAGCGAAAGATGATTTCGGTTGTTGTGCGTCCGGTGGCGGGCCCGTGAGAACGGAACGATTACGTGAGAAATTCAATACTCTTCCCGTTCGGGGTACTCGCGCTTTATTTCGGTGCTCTGCTATGTTATTGCTTCTCTGCGAGTCCATACAACTGAGGCCGCCACAAGCGGTTACCATGACCAGAACTCAAAACCGCGGCGTCTCCTTCTTTCCCTCTCTCTCATCCCTCTTGACCGCCACCGATCCAACCACACCCAGCTGTCCCTCGTCCGCCAGCACGCCCACCGCCCATGTCTGACGAGGCCGCAAGGCTCCTGAGCGACGGCCAGGACGCCGAATTCCTCGCTTTCTCTTTTCATCAGTCTGCTGCTCCAACCGACAACCTGTCGACCGCCAACGAGGCGGAGCCCGAGGTCACCCTCGTCAGTTCAAGTCCGAATCTCGACGAACCCCCCGCTCCCCGCCCATTAAAACATTCACGTAAGCTCTATCAACCTGTATCCGCTACTCTTTAAACCCTCACCCTTGCTCGAAAGGCACTGCAAGACGGATCTCCACTGTCCCTAAAGGTGAGGACCTTCCACAGCTTTTCGGACCTTCTTCGACTGACACCTCCCACCCCCAGCGCCTCAAACCCAGTGCGCGGCAGCAGTACCAAACATAGTGTGGAACTATGTTAGCGGAGGTAGCAGGCAAGCCGTGGCACCTTCTTCTTCAACAGGTGAGAACGAAGCGAGTCGCGCTCTGGAGAATCGCTTCCTCATCGACGGCGTCAGGTTCTCGACATTCGGCTAAAGCCCCCGTCCCTCGCAATTCAACATTGTCCGGTATGTCATCCACGACCGCTACAGCTCGGCGACGCTGATTTTACATTCTTACCCAGGTGGTGCATCGGTCTCTAGTTCCACTTCTTGGGATGTTTCCAAATATAGCGCTCGTTCGGGAACTTCGAGTCAGTGTCGAATGCCTCATTTCGCGCTGTACTGTAATGCTGACTGCTCCTATCCATAGTCGAGGACCCCAACCCCCAAACCCACGGGCTCGACGTCTCGATTCGTAGCATCGCTTCCTCCAGCCGAGGTCACCCTCCCGCACAGGCTTCATCCTCTCGTCCCCAACGCGCTTTGGTGCCAAAACGTCCGTTCCAAGCATCACTTGATGACGAGGAAAGCAGGAGAACAGTATATGCCCCAAGTGACGGAAGTGGTGATGTTCCCAACGATGACGACTACATCAGTGACGCCATGGGCGGGTGCCAGAAATCGCAGCCGAATGGGCAAGTCTCAAGTCTATCACCTTAACTTTCGTCCCGCGTTGACACATTCTTTGCAGCCAAACAAAATTGTCAAAAGGTGGTCGAAAGAAGACTTCGAAGCGCGCGAGATTGGGCCAGTCCAGTCTTTACGAAGGTGCGCTTAGTCGGTATTATTCTTCGACGTTCCATTAAAACTCACGGCTGCAGATGCGCATGACACTTCGATCCAATGCCTCCCAAGGTCAGTTGATTTAGACAATCAACTTCGATTTCAATATCAAAAACCTGAACGAGAATTCTTTGCTGAAATACCCCTTCTACCTTCACCTCGGGCAAGCAGGGCTTCGGCGACTTTCAGTGCGGCTCCTCACTTGGATCCCTCTTCTTCAACAACCACCATCCCGCCAAATCTGAATCGAAACAAGTACACCGGCTTGGGTTCCAATTTTGCCCCGCAACCTGCGGCAGAGGTAGGAACCTCCGACTACCGTATCTGACAGTAGGTCTGACCTCAATTACCAACCCTCCAAGGCTTCGGCCTCCACCTCTGCCCAACCCCAGCCTGCTCTTCGTATCACGACCAACATCGGCATCCAACCGACCGGCCGC